ACAACTGCCTGAGAGGAGGATGGAGCCAGGAGGGGCTGGGCTCTGCTCCCAAGGAACAAGGGATGGGACAAGAGGAAACGGCCTCAAGCTGCACCAGGGCAGGTTTAGATGGAGCTGAGGAACAAGTTTGCCGATGACACCAAGCTGTGTGGTTCGGTTGATACCCTGGAGGGAAGGAATGCCATCCAGAGGGACCTCGACACGCTTGTGAGGTGGGCTGATGCCAGCCTCATGAAGTTTAACCATGCCAAGTGCAAGGTCCTACACCTGGGTCAGAGCAATCCCAGGCACAGCTACAGGTTGGGCAGAGAAGAGATTCAGAGCAGCCCTGCGGAGGACTTGGGGGTGGTGGTTGATGAGAAAATGAACATGAGCCAGCTTCAGTGTGCGCTCGCAGCCCAGAAAGCAACCGTATCCTGGGCTGCATCAAAAGGAGCGTGACCAGCAGGTCGAAGGAGGTGATCCTGCCCCTCTGCTCTTGTGAGACCTCACCTGGAGCATTGTGTGCAGTTCTGGTGTCCTCAACATAAAAAGGACATGGAACTGTTGGAACAAGTCCAGAGGAGGCCACGAGGATGATCAGGGGACTGGAGCACCTCCTGTATGAAGATAGGCTGAGGAAGTTGGGGCTGTTCAGCCTGGAGAAGAGAAGGCTGCGTGGAGACCTCAGAGCAGCCTTCCAGTATCTGAAGGGGGCCTATAGGGATGCTGGGGAGGGACTCTTCATTAGGGACTGTAGTGACAGGACAAGGGGTAACGGGTTAAAACTTAAACAGGGGAAGTTTAGATTGGATATAAGGAGGAAATTCTTTCCTGTGAGGGTGGTGAGGCACTGGAATGGGTTGCCCAGGGAAGTTGTGAATGCTCCATCCCTGGCGGTGTTCAAGACCAGGTTGGACGAGGCCTTGGGTGAGATGGTTTAGTGTGAGGTGTCCCTGCCCATGGCAGGGGGTTGGAACTTGGTGATCTTAAGGTCCTTTCCAACCCTAACTATTCTGTGATTCTATGACTCTATGAATCCCTTCCCCAAAGGGTGCTCAGGCATTGGAACAGGCTGCCCAGGGCAGGGCTGGAGTCACCATCCCTGCAAGGTGTTCACCGTGTACACAAGGCCCTCAGTGCCATGGGTTAGTGGTGGCCTTGGCGGTGCTGGGGAATGGTTGGACTGGATGATCTTGAAGGTCTTCTCCAACCTGGTTGATTTTATGATTCCATGATTTCCTGCAGGCAGAGATATTGCCTGTTTGGGGCACACTCATTGCTGCAGAGGCCAATGTTCCTGCTCATGGTTACTACCTGTTTTCCCAAAATAAAGAGGGCTGACACTCACACGCAGTGCAGTGAGCTCCTTTTGGCAGCTGAGGGGCTGCTGAGGGGTGTGTGGGGCCGCAGTGTCAGTAGCTCCAGCTCAACTGCTGCTGTGCCACTGACCTCGGGCAGGGCTGGAGGGCTGGAGAGAGTCTGGTTATCTCCTGCCCCTCCTCAGGGTCATACAATCTTGGCTGAGGTTGGTCTTGCTCTGTCCCACCAGGTTATGATGCTGACTGTGGGTCTTGGGTTTACATATCCCAGGGTTAACTTTGGGGAGGGCTTACTCTTCACCTTAGGTAAAATGCTGCTTACTCACTTGCTAATTTCTTCCTGCAGTGCCAAGTACCTCCAGCTCAACTCTCCCCATGTTATCAACTACAGGTAGGTCTGGATGGGCTGAGTCATCTGGTTATCTCTTGCTCTGGCTCAGTCATGGAATCACAGGATGGCTGAAGTTGGAAGGTACTTCTGGGAGTCATCTGGATCAATGCCCTTGCTTAAGCCAGGTCACCTAGATCTGGCTGCCCAGGACCATATCCAGGTGGCTTTTGGATGTCTCCAAGGATGGAGAATCCACCACCTCTGTGGGCAACCTGTCACCATCACAGCAAAACAACGTTTCCTGATCTTCAGCGAGAATATATGCGGAGCATCTGAGATAGGGTCCCCAGATGGGAAGATTCATGTTTGTTTTGGGACTGTGTGTGTCCAAGTGCAAACAGAGGTTCTGGTTGTAGTCAATGAAAGGAATATTACTGCTCATAATTTGAGGGTATATTCCTCTTCATTTAATACCTGAAGTATAATGCCTGAAGTGATCCCAAAATAGCAGTGCAGGTGATTTCACACTCAGTGTAGTCATTTCTTTGCAGTCAAGCAGTAATTTCACAGGTGCTTAGGAAGCATCGTTTTTGACCACTTCATAAATATTGTTATTCCACTGATTCCTATTTCAGCTGTTTGTTCGAGCACATCATTTGTGCATAGTGTGTATTTTGAAAGGTTAATTCTTCACATAGTAAAGGTTAGCTCAGGGAGGGAAGGAGTATTTCATGTCTGCCAGAAGCTGAAAAGAGAAACAGAAAATCTCTTAGACCTCAGTAGGTCTTTTGTTCATTCCTTAGGTTAAAAGAAGTAAATGTGTATTATTTCTAATTTGGGAGATAAGTCAAAAGACGATTCACACATTCCTCTCTTCTTGGAGAAGTTTGAGCTTGTACTGAAACGTGTCCTTGAAATCCATTACTTGGTTTTATTTCTAAATGTTCTTCGATCTCAATTCTGCTGTTACTTGATTAGACTGCAACCTGTCTATAGATAAATTTCATACAATTTTCTGTCTGTGACATGACGCCTTCATGTTTGTGAACTGGATATTTGTCAGTATTCCTGTTAGCAAACAAAATAATTTGATCTTTTTTGCCCTCCCCTTTGCTTAATAGCAATTGTTATAGAGGTGACCCAGGCCCAGCTGTGACTTTGTAAAGGAACAGCTGACCTCTGGAGGTGCAACCTCCATAACTGTGCAGTTCCATGAAGTGCAGGCATTGAAGAGCAGCATTATAAAAGCTATTCAGTGTGCTTAGCATCTCCTGATCTGCATTCAGATGATATATGAACCTCATACAAAGGCCACTGAGTTGGTAGAAGTCACTGCCTCTAAATTTTAGACTTGCAGATTCTACATAGGCACATTCTAAAAGCAACCTTAAATAAAGTACACATCTACTTTTCTTCGGATTTTTTTCTCTGCAGAATATGATTCTTGTGGTGGCTTGCTTTCCTCTCCATCTGGTACATTACAGAGTCCATTTTACCCCAGAAACTATGCCAACAATGCCAACTGTGTTTGGGTAATAGAAGCAAAGAACAATTTCTGTGTCACACTCTCATTTAGAGATGTTCAGTGAGTAAAAATCTATTATTTGGGAAGATGAATGTATGGGATTGTCACCTTGGATTTACTAAGCACAGAGCTGCTTGATTTAAAGGGTTTTTTTCAAAGCTTTTAGTACATCTGAGATGTTCTAAAGATGACGACGCCTTGGGTGAGATGGTTTAGTGTGAGGTGTCCCTGCCCACGGGAGGGGGGTTGGAACTGGATGATCTTAAGGTCCTTTCCAACCCTAACTATTCTATGATTCTATGCTTCTGTGAAAAATGTATTCCTTTTTGTTTATTTGGTCAGCAATGTGGCTGGCATCTAATGAGACAGAAACTGAGGGCTGTAATTTCTGTTCCAAAGATTTGATAGTCACAGTAGATAGCAAAATGTACTCTTTTGCTATGAACTCTTAATTTGAGTTAAAAAGACTAAAAAATATATAATAATGAAAAAGAATTATATAACTAAATACCCACATTTCCTCCTCAGGATGGAAGGGGGCAGATGCCTGTCTGACTACGTGGAAGTCTACGATGGGCCACTCCATACTTCTCCTCTCCTTGGGAAATTTTGTTCTGGGTCTTTTCGCACATACACATCTTCCTCGAACCTCCTGACTGTCCGATTTCACAGTAACTCTCGGTACACATACAGAGGGTTTCAGGCTGACTATTATTCCACTCCAGCAGATCAGAGCACTAGTAAGTTCATGTTTAAAGCAGAAACCTGCTTCTCAACTCTTAGCTAATTCACCGAACGTTAACCTTGTTGTATGACTTCAATAAATCACCCATTTCGTATTACTTTAAGCTAGAACGGGAACGTTCCATAGAGATGCAAATGTATGATTTGGATTCTGAACTCCTTCTGCAATATCAGCTGCTTCTGCAAAAGATATTGTTCATTTAACCTCTTTTTGGTCTCTTCAATGAGCTTGTAATATATTTTCCTTGCAATCTCCTAGCACTGCTGTGTTTGCCAGACTACATGCGTGTAGCTGTGAGCAGATACTACCTTCAGTCACACGGCTACTCCGCTTGGAATCTCACCTTGAAGGACCCCTATTGCAAACCCAACATCACGTCCCGCTCTGTTATATTTGAGATACCATGCACTCGCTGCGGCACAGTGAGAGAGGTGAGGCTTTAAACGTTCCAACAGAGTGTGCAAATATGATGTGTGTAAAAATTCAAACCAAAGAATGCACTCCGAAAACTGGCACAAATTCAAAGCTACGCTGGGCTCTGCAGGGACTGGAAGTGTCCTGGTGATTATGGGTTGCCTCTCCTGAGGGATAAGCTATATTATATGCCTGTTGCTGCTGCCAGAGCATTCACTTATAGCCTGTTACTGATCTCCTAAGGAATAAAGTGTGGAAGGAAGCAAATACTTTGTATTTTCAAGGTCCCAAGCTGTGTGTGGTGGTTAAAAAGGTCTCAAAGTTTTTACTAAATATGACCAATAGTGTTTTAAACTAGGTTTCATCTTAAATACTGTGCTGGACTTGAACCTTCAGGCATTTAATGTTCAAAGCATTGTGCAGGTTGTATTTTATTCAGTTATGTCTGCCTCTAACGTGGGTAGTTTTCTAGGCCCACATTGTAGCACTGAATATTAAAGGTAGATAAGTGATTCTTATCTTGAGAAGAGAAACTACGATTTTCAGACTTCTCCACAGCAGACTTTCTGGGAAATAATGCATTTACTGTGCACATTGCTGCAAAGATACAGCAAAGTTTAGCATTCATAATAGGAAACCTGATGATATGAATTAATTTTGCATTTTATCTTTTATGCCAAACAGGGAAACAACGATACAATAACCTATTCCAACGTTATTAGAGGGTCCTCTTCTGGTGCTGTAATCACGAGGAATAAAGATCTTCGTCTGCACGTCAACTGCAAAATGCTCCAGAACACATGGGCCCGAACAATGTATGCTGTGGAGGACAATTTTGAAGTCAGTGAAACTCAGTATGGCAGATACGATGTAAACCTTACTTTCTATCATTCTGCATCCTTCTCACGGCCAGTGAATGACTTCCCATACTCTGTTAACCTGGATCAGAATTTGTTCCTTGAAGCTTACCTGCACAGCTCCGATCCAAACCTGGTGTTATTTGTGGACACCTGTGTGGCATCTCCCACTCCCCACAATTTTACAACACCGACCCATGATGTAATCAGGAATGGGTAAGCTTTTATGCATTACAATTACAGATAAAACTGCCTTTGAATCCCTGTATCTCCTTTTTTTTTTAATGGAATAGTGTGGATACAGCACACATACATGTCATTATTGCCATTCATGCTTCTAACTAATTCATGAACATGGACATTTGGGAAAGGGGATGGATTGACCCAAACTATAACATACACTCTCCAGTTTAGAATGACAAACAGGCTAAATGGCTATGGCCAGTTCATTGTGGATTGTTATTATTGAAGAGGCAGTGATGGCGTATCTCAGGTAAGGGTGACTTACCTTCAGCAAATCATACAAACCCTAGGTATCTAGACACATGACAGGCTGAGGGGAAGTAACATGGCTCAATGTTGCCAAAGAAGGGTATGTTGCTTTTCCCAATTGCAGGTTTCCGGACCATTTTCCTCATCCCTTTGCACGTTATGTGTTATATTGCATGTAAATGACTGATTTCAGTGTATATTCATGACAGTTTTCTTGTTTCTTTTTAGGTGTGCTCGAGATTCTACTTATGCTACATATTATTCACCCTACAGATACATGGTCCGGTTTAAATTCAATGCCTTCCAGTTTGTTCGTCACAATCCACTGGTTTATCTGCAGTGTGAACTAGTGGTGTGCAGGGCCTATGACTATTCCTCCAGATGCTACCAAGGCTGTGTTACTAGGTCTAAGAGAGAGGCAAGCTCTGGCCAAGAGAGTGTGACTGTAGTTGCTGGCCCAATACAGCTGAAGGAAGCCGGTGCTGAGGATAGGAATGAACGTGATGCTAGATAAAACTGCCTCCTTTGACAAATAGCATCTTTAAATGCCAATTTAATCCTGAAAGAAACTATGCTGCTGGATCAGCAGCAGCTCTAGAATGTGCTTACTGACTCATGCCTGTTAAACCCACTTCGCATCAGTTGTCTTCATTTCCGTGTAACAAAACTGCTACTTCAGCAGCTCTCCAGGGATTCTGATAAAACAGGGCACAGGCAGCTCTGTGGCACAAACCTGCCTCCAAACTGCCTGTGATTTGTCCCTGCTGTGTCTGAAGAGCCAGTCTGAAAGCTTCCCTGAGAGATCCTCTAAGCTCTTTTCTTCCGGGTGAAACTGAAATGGTTAAGTTGTGGCTTAAACCACCTAAACAAGCTCTAACAATATAAACCTGGACCTGGATGTGTCAGTGCAAGAAATGAGTGAGTTCACCTTTCAATCTGGTCTAGTATTCCCTTTTTTTTTTCCATTTTTGTAATGTTTTGGAGATAACAAGATCAGGGATCAAGTGCAACAAGGTCCTCTCACTTTTCCCAGGGCTGGACTTCTTGTCATCCAGGAGAATATGAATTCAGCTCCTGCTCCAACTGATGTTTCTCATGCACCATTTATTACTGCTCCCAGGCACTTGCTGTTTTCACTCTTGTGTTTCTTCTGAAACATAAGTGAAGACACTAATTCCACACCAGATCATGTAAGCCTTGTAAATTCCTGCAGCTGATAACATTGGTTGAGTAATTTGATGGATGAATTTCCTTGCATTGACTATTCAAGGTTAAAATGCAAGCACGAAAGGCTTTCTGTGGTAATGGATTACCTCATGAAAAGAGGTGGGCTTGACATAACAACTTGGAGTTGAAGGAAACCAGAAGACCAGCAGATGTTTGCAGCCCAATAACAACCTTCAAATTAGTTGCCACCTGCAATATTGGGGCTCTCAAACCTTAATGCAGTACCTGAATCATAGAATCGTAGAATGGTTAGGGTTGGAAAGGACCTTAAGATCATCCAGTTCCAACCCCCCTGCCATGGGCAGGGACACCTCACACTAAACCATCTCACCCAAGGCTCTCTCCAACCTGGTCTTGAACACTGCCAGGGGTGGAGCATTCACAGCTTCCTGGGCAACCCATTCCAGTGCCTCACCACCCTTACAGTAAAGAACTTCTTCCTTAGATCCAATCTAAACTTCCCCTGTTTAAGTTTTAACCCGTTACCCCTTGTCCTATCACTACAGTCCCTAATGAAGAGTCCCTCCCCAGCATCCCTATGGGCCCCCTTCAGATACTGGAAGGCTGCTCTGAGGTCTCCACGCAGCCTTCTCTTCTCCAGGCTGAACAGCCCCAACTTTCTCAGCCTGTCTTCATACAGGAGGTGCTCCAGTCCCTGATCATCCTTGTGGCCTCCTCTGGACTTGTTCCAACAGTTCCATGTCCTTTTTATGTTGAGGACACCAGAATTGCACACAATACTCCAGGTGAGGTCTCACAAGAGCAACTTCTGTTCATCCTATACACCTGCCAGAATTTGTAATCATTCAAAAAATTACCTTAAAGCTGTTTTTCTTCTGATTAAACAGAGAAATATAAAGAAAAACCTGACTTAAGCTACAATACATTTTATTTACTTGGAATGTTATTGGCTTAAAAAGAAGTTTTTATATGTATGGTGTTCAAGGAAATTCCAAAGCTAACAGTGTAAGAATTCTTTTTTGAGATGTAACTTAAACACATCTAAATTACTTAATGCTTTTAATCCTAAAGAAGCCAACCGAACTAAAGGCCTTGATTCCCAAACAAACATATGTCTACAGTGCTAACCAGTGCTGGTTTTCATGATTTCCCTACTGATACCATGCAAGGTCTTCCCAAAGATTCCTGAACTGGTAGCCTGGACAGCAGATGTCTAAATTGTGCTGCTCAGCTCTGTGTCTTTTTCAGGAATTTTATCTTCTTTCAGAGCTTAAAAAACAGAAGAATCAAAGGGTTATAATGGAAAAGTTAGGATTACTGCTTTAGCTTTTCTCTGCTCAAGGCCCGAATCATCTTTAACTTTAGTACAAAGGTCGTGGGCCTTGATTTGTCATTTAAAGTAGAACTAGGTTGTTGCTTGTATCTATCATACTTCTTAATACTTCTTATTGCATTTCCTCCTTGCAGAGATCTGAAAGGATCAAACAGTTTAACTTAGGAATGCATAGTTTTAATCATTGAAATCTGCACCAAAGATAAAATGATCCATTAAAAAACAATTCTTCATATCCCAAATCTAATACGCAGTGCAACATGACCTAGTTTTCTGAGTTGTATGTTCCATTTGCCTGAATCACAAATATAGCAAGATAGAATGCAAACTGCAGTGTGTGCCATTTCTTTTTACTTGATTTTTCCCCACCTAACTGGGCAGATAATTTCTGCCAATGTGCTCTTTGCACTATGAAGAGTGCCCTAGGTGTGATAATCTGAGGCAAGAGGAGCATGGTGTTTGCTAAATGGATGATGGGCAATGACAAATATGAATGCACCTCACCAGTTCCTCCTCCAGGTAGGCATTATCAAATGATTTGTAGACAGGGAAAAGGAGTTAGTGAATTTTGCCACACTAGATTAAGTCAATTTCACACCTATATCGCTATATTAGATATTGCACTATGTATTGACATTTAAGAAGGAGCCAAGGTAGGTTGTTAAATATTTGAATTAGAAACAAAACTTTGCAAATGTTTAAATAAGCTTTGTGCATAACTTTTCTGCTATGAATAATCTCCCAAAAGATTTAGAAATTAGTGAGGCACTTGAATGTTTGCCTTAACCTCTGCAAGATCAGGCCTCCAATACACTTCCCAAACTCCATTCAGAAGATATTTACTGAAGTACTTACCACTCAACTGATGAACTTAGCTCATCAATTTCCCAACAAAGGTACATTTGAGCACCACATACCTGAACCTCCACATTGGAAAACTCCCAAAGGCCAAACCAGGCTGTGCTATGCCTTTCTACAGAGCCTGGCACAGGGGTTTGACCATATCGATGTCAAGGAGTAGGTTTTGTTCTTTAACGTGAAAGCACAACAGTACTCTCCGAGTAAGTCTAAGAAAGTGAGAAAATCTGCCCAGGCTGTATTTGCCATTACATAAATCACTGAGAATTAGCATAGAGAAGAGGGTCTAGAAGTTGGCTGTAGCACAATGCATGGGCAGGCACTGGCCACATTGACTACCCAAGTGATCACAGCCTGTTGAAAAGGCTAGGCAAGTCTTAGCTGCCTAACCCAGTCACTTAAGACCTTGGAAACAATTCTTTGTTAGGTAAGAGGAATTTTGGATTGGCTTATTAGGCTAAAAAAAAAAAAAAAATAGAAAGAAAAAAAAAAGGGTGAAAGGTGGTGGAGTTGCCTTGAAGTAAGGTGATATAAAATATTTTCTTATGGCTTTCATTGACATTCAGTTTTATTCAAGTGATTATAAGCTCAACAGCTATGGTCCAACAACAGAGAGGATCTATAAAGTTGCTTAAAATGCTCTAAAAAGATTCTGCATTGTGTTTGCAAGTTATAAGAATCTGATATGTCTCATCTCCTCTACAACTTGTATCTTCTTGCTGAGGATTTCACTGTGCTGCAACTGCCTTTGGCTTTTGTGTTTCCTGGTTCACGTGAATGCAATAACACAATGAATCTCCTCTTGTCAGAAGGATGCATGAGTCATCCCTTAAAAAAGAAAAAGACAATAGCCATTGATTTATTCCACTGTCCCCTTTGTAGCTGCCACCCTACAGTGTAGATAGATTGGTGTAGTTTTGAACCAAGAACCTAGGCTAAGAATAGTAATAATATAAGCTTTTACTGATCTGACAAGAAGCCTTGAAAGAGAAATAAACACAAGCCTTTCCAAATGAGAATCAGCAAAGCACTTAAAGAAAGAATGATTGGAAAAACCTCATGAGAGCAGATGTATTTACTAAGAGCACTTCAATGATTACACGATTTGACCTACAATCTGCGATGTGGTATAGAGATGGAGGAGACTCACCAAACATAACCAAGGAAGGGTGGGAAAAACTTCAAGGCTTAGTGCAAATATGACAACGTAAATAAACATCGCTATATGCTCATATCTTTTATATTCACTCACAGTATTTAATAGAAGGGAAAATTATGGAGACATTTGGGGTTTTCCTGCAATTATGTAGGTTGTAGTTTCATGATAACATAAATTTATTATAGCTCTTTAACTACTGCACATGCTTTGATCTTAAACCTTAAGTACTTATTAAACTTTCATACAGCTCAGTCCTCAATCTGTGTTGCCCTTTAAGCCTCTTCTTTTCCAGAAATATTCCCTGGAAAAATTTCCTATGGCTATACACAATTATCACAGTGGTAATGTAAGAAGACAAAAGGCATTGAAGTCTGATCGAGGTTTTTTTCCCTTAGGAAGTTTTGAACATGTTCCAAAGCAAGAGGTTGCAACAAGAGCTCAGTTTACAACATTTACAGCTCCAATTATACCTAGGAAGGTTAGTCTTGCTTTCTCCACCTGGATTTGTCTCCATTCATCACCACTTTTTGGCTCAACCATCCAGCTGGTTTTTTTACCCAGCATAAAGTACACTTGTACTATTTTTGAAGAAGCCAGCTTCTCCAGGTGTCAAAGGCTTTACTAAAGTCCAGGTAGACAACATCGACAGCCTTTCCCTCATCCACTAAGTGGGTCATCTTGTCATAGAAGGAGATCAGGTTAGTCAAGTAGGATCTGCCTGGTCAAGTAGGACCAGCCCATGTTGACTGGGCCTGATCACCTGGTTGCCCCGTACATGCCACATGATGGCACTCAAAATGATCTGCTCCATCACCTTCCCTGCACCAACGTCAGGCTGACAGACCTGTAGTTGTCTGGATCCTCCTTCCAGCCCTTCTTGTAGATGGGTGTCACACTTGCTAACCTCCAGTCAAACTGAGACCTCCCCAGTGAGCAAAGACTGCTGATAAATGGTGGGATATGGCTTGGTGAGCACTTCAGCTAGCTCCTTTTGAGGAACCTTTGCATGGATTCCATCATCCCCATGGACTGCTGTGTATTTTAATGGTGTAGCTGGTCGCTGACCATTTTCCTTTAGATTATGGGGCTTCATTCTGACCCTCAGTCCTCTCTTCCAGCACAAGGTGCTGTGAACCCTGAAAACAACTGGTCTTACTATTAAAGGCTGAGGCAAAGAAAGCATTAGAGTACATCAGCCTTTTCCTCATCCTTTATCACTGTTTCCCCACACACATAATAAGGGATGGAGAGTCTTCTTAGCCCTCCTTTTGCAG